GGGATCAGGGATCAGGATCGGGACAGGGACAGGGACCGAGACTGGATATCGGGGCTGACACGGGGAGGCAGGGACAGGAACCGGGAGAGGGGATCAGGATCGGGACAGGGACCGGGGATCGGGGATCAGGATCGGGACAGGGACCGGGATCAGGGATCAGGATGGGGACAGGGACAGGGACCGAGACTGGTAACAAGGACCCGGGATCGGGGCTGACACGGGGAGGCAGGGACAGGAACCGGGAGAGGGGATCAGCATCAAGACCCGGGACAGGGACCGAGACCGATGACAGGGCTGGAAGGGGGTCAGGAACCGGGACAAGGAGCGGGACGGGGCCCAGGGCTGGGGCTGGAGACGAGGGACGGGGACAGGGACCAGAGCCGGACCGGGGCCACCCCTGGGTCCACATGGGACGGGCTCCGGGTGCCACCGGTGACCCCACAGGTGACGATTTGGGTACCGGGGCGGTGCAGGAAGGGGGTGGGCGCCAATGGGTGCCAGGGGGTGCCGGGCAGGCGCTGACCCGTGTCCCCACGTGTCCCCACACAGGCCCGACGCGGGGAGCGCCCATGGAGCTGCTGGGGGGGCCGGAACTGGCCGACCTGGTGGCCTCACTGCCCGGGTTCCTACTGGCCGTGACCCGCGAGGGGAAGCTGGTGGGAGTCACCGACAACGTGGCCCAGCACCTGGGGCACTCCATGGTGAGCACCGGGGGGGTCGGGGCCTCGCCCGGGGGGTCCTGGGGGCTGGGGGGGGCTGGGGGCTGAGCCTCCCCCCAGGGGGGTCGTCCTGGTGCTGCAGGGAGAGGGGTCCCGGGTGCCGGGGGGTGCTGGGGGGTACTGGGTCTCAGCCCATGGGGGTGGTCCTGGGGGTGTAGAGTGACGGGTTCTGGGGGTCCTGGGGGGTGCTGAGTCCTCACCCTCTGCTGAGTCCTCACCCTCTGCCCCTTCCCCATGGACCGGGGGGTGCAGGACGACGGTGCTGGGGGGAGTTCTGGGGGGGTCCTGGGGAGTCTTGGGGGGTGCTGGGTGCTGACCCCTCTGTCGTCCCCCCCCCCCCGGGTCCCTGTGCCCCCCCCCCCCCCCCCGTGCAGGTGGACCTGGTGGCACAAGGTGACAGCATCTACGACCTGCTGGACCCCGCCGACCACCCCCTGGTGCGACACCAGCTCACCCTGCCCGGGCCCCCCCAGGCAGGTGGGTGGGGGCTCCGAGGGGGAGGGGAGGGGAGGGAGGGACGGATGGAAGGACGGAGAGATGGGAGGACAGAGGGATGGAGAGGTGGGAGAAGAGAGGGTTGGAGGGACAGGAGGAGAGAGGGTTGGATGAAGGGAGGGAGGGTTGGAGGGATGGACGGAAGGACGGAGAGACTGAGAGAGGGACGGAGAGGTGGGAGGACGGAGGGATGGAGAGAGGGAAGAACGGAGGGATGGTGGAAGAACGAAGGGAGAGAGGGAAGGAGAGTGGGTTGGAAGGCAGGAAGGAAGGAGGGAGGAAAGGAGAGATGGAAGAGGGGAAGGATGGATGGGAGGAGAGGGTTGGAAAGAGGGAAGGCGAGAGAGGTGGAGGGAGGGATGGAAGGACAGAAGGATGGGGAGATGGGCGGTCAGAGGAATGGAAGGACAGAGGGACGGAGGGAGGGAAGGAGGGATGGAAGGACGGGGAGAGGGGTGGTTTGGAAGCACAGAGGGACCGACGGCCCCCCCTCCCCCAGAGCGCCTGTTCCGCTGCCGTTTCACCACCTCCCGCGCCTCGCGCCGGCCCAGCGCCGGCCGGAAGCTCGTCCTGCTCCGGGGCCGCTTCCAGGCTCCCCCCGGACCCCCCGGAGCCTCCCCGGGGCTCTTCGTCGCCTTCTGTGCCCCCCTGGACCCCCCGCCCTGGCCCTGCCCCGACTGCCTCCTCCTGCCCGCCTTCCAGAGCCGCCACGCCCGGGACCTCGCCCTGCTCGACGTCTCCGACAGGTGAGGGAGGACATCGTGGGGGACGGGGGCACACGGGGGGGTCCAGGGGGATCCGGGTGACCGAGGGGATCCAGGAGTCTGAGGGGATCCAGGGGGATCCGGGTGACC